TACTAGTCCACATCTCCATTTGTGTCTTCAACTCTATTACAATTGATGGAGCTCGATTCACCAAATAACAGTCGGTATTGACTGCTTCTGCCCAGAATGATTTTTCTAGACTTGCATCGCTCAACATTGCTCTTGTTCTTTCTAACAACGTTCTGTTCATTCGCTCTGCCACTCCATTTTGTTGAGGAGTGTTCGCCACTATGAACTGTCTTTTTATGCTTTCTTTCCTGCAAAAGTCATCAAATTATTCACTTGTGTATTCTCCTCCATTATTTGTTCTGACACACTTAATCTTATTTCTAGAATCAAGTTCCACTCGCGCTTTGAAGTTTTTCAAAGTTGAAAACACATCTGACTTCTTCTTAATAGGGTACATCCAACATCTCCTGGAGTAGTCATCAATAAATGAGACAGTATTTTGCTCCGCCTAGGGTTGTAACTGGTGCTTACCATACGTCAAAATGAACAAATTCTAGAACACTTTTGCCTCTAGAATTTGATGTGTTGAATTTCAACAGGTGCTGCTTACTTGTTATGTAATGCTCACACAAAGTAAGTGATATCTTTGTTAAGCCTGGAAGTAGCTTTTGCTCCACAAGGACTTTCAATCCTTGTTCTGACATGTGTCCAAGTTTCTGATGCCATAGCATTGCAGAATCTGAACTACATGAGGCAACAGAGGCTTCTACTTCTGGAAAAGTCTCTTCCTTCAGCATGTACAAGTTTGTTGTTATCTTTTCGTCTTTTATCACCAATACGTTCTGTTGATCTTCCTCTCATCGTTGTCAACGTTTCTTCTTGTTGCATATTTACTTATATGTCTTCCTTGTTCTTGCGCCAATTTTCTTCTTGTAGAACATCAGCTGCAACGTCATCGAAGACTATACTGGTGACATTACAGTTTGTCAAGTTGATGATGAGTTGATCATACGAATCAGGTAGACTTTGAAGTAAAAGTTCAGCATGTTCTTGTTCTCCTATTGTACATCTTAAGGATGTAAGCTGAGAAAATAAAGTGTTTAGTGTGCTTAAGTGCTCCGTCGCTGAAGTAGATTCTGGCATCTGAAGAGTATACAATTTCCTTTTAAGAAAAATTTTATTGTGCAGCGATGTGACCTCGTACAGTTTAGTGAGATGATTTCATATATCCTTAGTTGTCTTCTTCTCATCGATGCTTGACAATACTTCATCTTCTAATGCTAAATGAAAGTTTTCCATAACATTCCCGTCCATTTCGATCCATTTGTTATCATCTGTGAAATCTACTGGCCTTTTATTGATAGCTGCTAGACAATCGTCTTTCCTCGGGATGACCTTCATCTTCAATTTTCACAATGAGAAATTTCTCTCATTGAACTTTTCAATATCAAATTTCGTTGTCATAACTTCTATTACGGATAGCTCCCACTATTTCACTATCGTGAATAGTTCTCTGGAACCTTCAAAGAATGAGTAATACCTTCTTACTTTCTTATGTTAGATGATCCACCTTTTGGTGGCAACCACAAAGACAATAAGTAGATATTACACACTCTAATCTGGCTCTGATGCCAATTGTTACGGAAGACGGCTATCGGATAGAGCAAAATCACAACTGATCATTTGAGAAAATAAAAATGAAGATAAAGAAGACACAAATTTTACGTGGAAAACCCCTAAATAATATAGGGTAAAAACCACGGGCAACGGTAGAAGAATTTCACTATGAGAAAAATAGGAATTACAACTTCTCTCGATCTACCAAGGAGAAAACAATGATAATTCTCTCTTGATAAAAAGGAGAAAACAACTCTCAAGAAACTCTCTAAATTCTCTAGTATTTGGAGAAAGCTAGAATGATTTGGGATAGTTTTGAAGCTAAATGGGTTAGGGTATTTATAGTTGAAGCTTAAGGACTAATTTTATAAATACCCTAAAGTCCAAGGACTAAAAGAGCAATTTTCCTATTTAATTTTCAACCATTGTTGCACCTAATTTGACATTGTATATTCGATGCATACCCCCTTTTTTCCACAATGCACCGAAAGTGCATTTGACTTTCAACACAAGGTGCTCTTGTTTTCGTTTTGGCCCCAATAGATGGCGATGCCACCGGGATTGCAAGTTCCGATCAGTCTTGGAATGCATATACCGATGCTGAGGGCATTGGAAGTTGCAATCAGTGCTGAAACTAAAACGTGAAAGAAGAAGATTGGTTTGGGTTGAGATTTTGTTGCCATTTTTGCTAAAGATGTGTGCTTCGAAATGTGCTAATGAGCTTCATCTTTATAGCGGCTTGAAATGCAACTCCATCCAATAGGATCAGAGTCATCTCTAACCAATAAATAAAACGGCATGGCATGGTCATGCCTATTATTTGTAAACCACATAACATGGTGTAATTCCTTAATCATCTTTGTTTTGTTCTTTTTTCTCTTGACAAATTAGCATTGTCCTTCGTGCCACCAAATTATTCTTCCACCTACCACTGATTGTAAAGTAACAAATATTTAAAAATGTTTCATATAAAACAAATTTAGAATATTCGAAATATAAATAATAAGTAGAATATTATAGAATAAATAAGTGAACGACCATATAGATGTATCAAAGTCAACATAAGACTAACTATTAATATATAAAGATTATACATTTATAAAACTTCAAATACAAAAAATATAATAACAGATTGAACTATCACTTGGTTTGAGCACTACAACAGAAAAGAAATTTTTTAGTCCTATAGTCGCGTTTTAAAGCGTTATTAAAAACTCTCCTGACGTAAAAGAATAAAACACTACAAAAAAACACCGCTAAAACAAACAATACAACTGTTAATGATGTTTTAAGTTGACAGAATCCGCATAAGGCTTCAATTTGACACATTTTATTGTATAAATCTGTAAATCATCCCTCTTCCATCTTTCTACCTTCACAAGATTAAAATAGAGGAAATCCAAGATAAAAAAAAATAGCAATGGCTACCTTATTATCATGGTGTGGGACATCATTCCTTTTCGTGGTCGTTTTAATGGTACGTTCTAATGTTACATTAACTAAGATGAATGTGATTCGATAAATGTTGGAGAGGGAATCCTCTTTGGCGCAGTCCACGACAACAATTAACCATATGCTCTGTTGGTCTCGCAGATAAAATAACCAACGACATCGGCAAAGATGTCATAAAATATCTAAATCCTAAACAAGGAACTCTTCAATATGGAACCACTATGATCGAGTGAAAAGTATGGATCACTTTAAAAAACAACATGCAAATCACGCTGCAAAAGTCGATTCTCTTGAATTGTTTCACTACCATTGATGGTCATGGTATCGACGTCCACATAACAGGCTCCGACTGCCTTGTGGTGTATCAGGCTACCGATATTATCATCCATTAATTACTCCAATTGATTAAGTGTAAGAACTCATCAAGTGACATAAATTTCAAACTTTTAATTCATATATTATTGATGTAACAATATAATATATTAATTGCGATAGCCTTGACATTTCTAACCGTAACACTTTAAAAATCATTATAACTAAACTGAACTAAATCACATTCTATTTTTTACTCTACAATTTGGCAGATATTGTTGCATAAACATGTCAATCATCTGTCATTAGTCTTTCATCTTTCTATCTTCACAAGATTAAAACAGAGGAAATCCAAGATAAAATAATTCAGCAATGGCTACAATATTATCATGGTGCTTCACATCAGCCCTTTTTGTGGTCATTTTAATGGCACGCTTTAATGTCACATTAGTTAAAATGAATGTGATCGATAAATGTTGGAGAGGAAACCCTCTTTGGAGGAGTCAACGATAAAAATTGGTCAGATGATCTGTGGGTTTCATTGGCAAAATAACCAATAATGCTGGTAAAGATGTCGTAAAATATAAGGTAACTGATCCTTCCGACGACCCTCTAAATCCTAAACAAGGAACCCTTCGATATGGAGCCACTATAATCAAGGGCAAAGTATGGATCACTTTCAAAAGCAACATGCAAATCACGCTGCAAAGGCCGCTTCTTTTGAGCAATTTCACTACCATCGATGATCGTGGTGTCGACGTCCACAAAACGGGTGCCGGTTGTCTTGTTGGTGTATCAGGCTACCGATATAATCATCCATGGGTTACGCATCCACCATTGCAAGTCCCAGCCACCTGGCACCGTAATGGGGCCTGATTCGAAGGTGATACCCCTCGGTCAGATGGATGGTGATGCTATAAGATTGGTCACGGCAAGAAAAGTTTGGATCGATCATAACACGTTATGAGTGCCAAGATGGTCTCCTTGATGTCACTCGTGGCTCAACCGATGTTACCATATCAAACAATTGGTTCAGGAACCAGGATAAAGTCATGCTTCTTGGGCATGATGATGGTCGTTTAAGAGATAGAAACATGAAGGTCACCGTCATTTTTAACCATTTTGGACCCAAATGCAACCAAAGAATGCCAAGGTAATGATAAATAACTCCATGGTTTAATAGTTTGCCAGTAAAAAAGTGTAAATTTACGCCGTTTACCTGACCGTTGATGTCATGGATACGCACACGTAGCCAGCAATTTCTACCAAGGATGGGAACAATATGCCATTGGAGGAAGCATGAGCCCCAGCATCAATAGTGAAATAATGTATAGTTTAACCACGAGATTAATACACGTATAGTTTATATGCTACAAAATCCTAGTGGGAAAGCTTTTGGCAGGGTTTATATTCTGCGTGTACATATATAGTTTAAGTTATAATGAGTGACATAAGACGAAAGATATATAATGTGGCATTCGGATTTAGCTATTGAGAATTGTATATACTAGAACATCAGGCTTAGTCGAAAAAGATTATTGATTCATTTCCTTGAGAAATAAGGAATGATGATATTAAAATGGCATATCTAAAATACCCCATAATCTCCTCTGCTTCCTCTAAAGCCAGTAAATATAGCTTGTCTCCAACTTCCTTTTCAAACCCAGCAACATATTTGAACCATACATCAAACTTCTTGATTTCGCTTCTTGATTTCGCTTATTTCGATCGAGCTAGGGGAGGGAAAGGAGTCTTGCTCACAGAAAATATTCCGAGCTTCAACGCAACTCTGCAGAGTGATAATGGGACCAATATTCCTTCACAAGTTGCCCGAACAGCGAGCCTTCGCTCTCCATCAGTTTCGCCGGCTCATCGTACTCCATAAGTTTGCCTGAAAATATAATGGAAACAACAAAACGTTGGTTCTATCACAATCTAAAGGAAGTATGATTGCGAAGTTGAAAGAAGTGCATGCAGTGCAAAGTACATTCAATTCTTGGATCAACACATTAAAGAAACTCACCATCACTGATCGCAAGTACCATCGTGCAGTCCATAACGGTTGGTATCCTGTGTGCAACTGTGATTACAGTACAATCGGCAAATTCGGTGCGAATGGTTTTTTGTAAAATCAAGTCCGTCGCATTATCAATCGATGCAGTTGCTTCATCAAGTACCAGCACACGACTTCTCCTCAAAAGAGCACGCCCCAAACAAAACAATTGCCGTTGCCCCATGCTCCAATTTGATCCATCTTCCACAACTGCATGACCGATTGATTTATTTCTCAGTAAACAGTATCACTATAAAGAGATTAAACGTACAAGAAGGGTCGATTTTCCGATAATTTACCCAAGGAGTCCATTCCATCTTCTTTTTCCTGAACAGCCTCTCGAAGTTGACATTTGTCAAGAACCTTAAGATGCAGATGAAAAATCAGTTGCCACAATACGTTTAGCATTAACATGAATGGAGAATTTCTTTGCTAAAAAGAAGATCAAATTTTACCTCCCATATCTCCTGGTCTGTATGTTGGGATAGAGGATCCAAATTGTATCTCACGGTTCCATTAAAAAGGGTAGGATCCTGAGGTATAATTCCAAAACGCGACCTCAGATCGTGTAGACCGATAGTAGAGATGTCGATGCCATCGACTATAACCTTCCCTCCAGCTGGCTCAACCAGACGGAATAAAGCACTGATTAGAGTTGTCTTCCCGCTTCCAGTACGACCAACAACACCAATTTTGTGCCCTCCTTGAAACGTGCAACTGATCCCTCTAAGAACTAATGGTGAATCTGGCCGATATCTGATCTGTTTGAATAATTTTTTTTTCTCAGTATAACCGATGCGGAATAGAAGAATTATGTATGTGCAAAGAAAAATTATACCTTCAAATCACGGATATCAACTTTGCCCACCGTTGGCCAGTTCAATGGAGGACGATTCTCCTCTATCACTTCAGGGGCTTCACTTGGTACATGCATGTATTGGTTAAGCCTTTCTACAGAAATGATGTAATTTGCTATGGTACATTGGTTTTGAATCGAAAACACAAGGGACATATTCAATGAAAGGCCATACGAAAGAGCCATGCCGATAAACCCTGCAATAACATGAGTAGTTTTTATGGACTTGATACCGACAACCATATAGGTGAGTAAGAGTTTGCTAATACTAACCAGAACTGAAAGTCCCAGGAGGAAGCAGAACCATGCAGAGTGCTGCAGAGGCCAAAACAGTAGCACTAAGCGTCTCTAACCGCTGGATCAACCATTCATTTGCTGAAAAACTGTGGAAGAACGGACTCGCATTAGTGTCGATAAGTTCAAGGCTCTTTGCGAAGAATCTTTCTTCCTCTTCAAAAGCCCTTATTGTGGTGGCTCCTGCTATGGACTCTGCTAGATGGTTTGCTACCAAGGATTTGGTTGTGCCATTTATCCTCATCAACTCTTTTGCGGTGGAAAAGTAATAGTTCTATGTACGACAATAAATGGTTTCAAGGTTAATAACATTCATGCAAAGTCATCTTGCATTTTTCAAGTTTCAATGCAACTAGGAATTGTTCCGGCTTGAAAGAAACTTGTAGTTTTACCTGTAGGCGGATTGCCGCGTAAATAACCGGTACCGAAACAAATAGGACTTGCCAGGTAACAACAGCTAGAACTCCAAGATTGCTATAAGCATTCATGGTAGCCGCACAAGCAAATACTAAGCTAAATGGTACATCAAGATCAACAATGCTCAGATCAACAGATACCTGATTAAAATCAAAATGTATAAATGTCAGTTCCGCCTATCGTTTTCAGCTAACCATTACGTCAATATTCGAGTGAGATGCTTACCCGACTTAGTATTCTTCCCAGAGGAGTGGAGTCATAAAACGACATAGGTGCACGAAAAAGGGAATTTAGTAGCTGTGAAAATAGAGATTTTGAAGATCTAATACCTAAGGTAACTACGGAAAGTGATCTAAGAAGCAACAACAGAGTTGAGAAAAAACCGATTGCCAAATAAACCACAATCAGTTTCAACGAGCTGACATTAGGATCGTCTACATTAGCAGCCATCCAAGAGTTCTGCGCTATCTGACACCCCACAAACAAAAGATGACACAAAGTAGCAATGATGAAGAACAAGAAGCCTTTGTCTTGATTGAGGTACTGTATGTATGGCTTAAGTCCTGTATCTCCTTGTTCCCTTTCTTCTTGCTTGATCAGTTGGTCACCTTTCGGTTCTTTAAACTCTTTTTCCAGATAACTCTTCTTGATCTCTGTAGTGGAAGTTCCATGTCCCTCGGAAGGATTAACTTCAGAAACTCTTCCATCTCCAGCAGTTTCTTTGTGTGCATTGACAAGGTCCTGAAATTCTTGACTAGAAGCTAATAAATCGTGATAAGAATCAGCTCGAAGAATCTCGCCATCTGACATTAACTGTGAATAAAATCAACATTAGAACAAAAGAGAAGTACCGAAAAAGGAGATGAAAGAATACATACTAACCAAAACAGAATCGAAAGCTGGTAAGAAATCAACTTGATGTGTCACAAGTAAAACTGCCTTTGCTGCAAGTGCTTCCATAACATATTCCTGCGACAATCTAAGTCAGCTTTGCCATGTGTTAATAATTAAACAAATTGCTAGGTTATATTGGATTTTGGTTATACATTAAATAAACTTGAAGCTGTGTGAGCATCCACAGCACTGAATGGATCATCCAAAAGATATATATCAGCATCCTGATAAAGCGCACGAGCAAGTTGAATTCGCTGCTTCTGGCCACCACTAAGATTCACTCCTCTTTCACCTATTTCAGTTTGATCACCGTACGGAAACAATTCGAGGTCCTTCACCAAGGAACACCTTTCGAGTGTTTCTTCGTACCGCTGTCTATCCATGGCAGAGCCGAATAATATGTTCTCTTGTATCGTTCCTGTCTGTATCCAGGCTGTTTGAGAGACATAGGCAATCTTTCCAAATACTTGAATCTGTACATTAGACAATGGAATTACTAGTTGAAAAACTATATGCTTTTAGACCTGAAATGAAAGAAACAATATGCTAGGATAAAAGGCTAAATTCATTCAGTCCTTACAGATCCTTGGATATTAGGAACTTCTCCGAGTATTGCCGCTAACAAGGTCGATTTACCGGAGCCAACTTCTCCGCAAACGGCCACTTTTTCCCCCATCCTAACATCTAAAGCTATGTTTCTTAGGGTGGGTTTTGAAGCATTCTCCTCCCAAGAAAATCCTCCTGATTTAATAGAGATGGCTAAGTTGGCATTCTCCATATGGCATTTTTTCCGGACATTTGCACTCTGCAGCTCTGGTGCATCGAGGAACTTCACGACACGCGCAAATGCAACCTTTGCTTGAATGACTATCCCAATAACATCAGGTATAGATCTAATGGGATCCTGAACAAGACGTAGGGTGGCCACAAAAGTGAAGACATTACTAGCATGCAGAGGAATGTTCAAGAAATAGCATGCCCCAAAGGTAGCAGCAGAGACCAAAACCGGGGAAGACCAAAAAAGAAAGCCATTATATGCTTTTCGCAACTGCACTGCTGATAACCACTTGTATTCTACAGCCCTTAAATTTTCGATGACATTCCTAAAATGGCTCTCCCATGCATATAGCTTCAGCACCTTCATGTTTATTAGAGCCTCGGAACTAGCCTTTAGTCTCGCATCTTGTGCAACCATTAGATTTCTTTGAAACCTGTGCTGTAACTTGGCCAGTGGAGCATTGCACATGACAGTGAGGATGATAACTACTAGGGCCGCAAATGTGGCTACTCCCACGGCACAGAAGAGAATGATTAGAGCAATACACAGCTGAAGGCTTGTTGTCCATGTCTGATGGAACCAGAAAGGAAATTCTCCGATCCTATAGGCATCCACTGCAACGTAATTTGTTATCTCACCGCTCGAGTGCATCTGCCTTGCAGCATTGGATAATCTCAATTGCTTCTTATATATTGCTGCGGTGAGCAAAGACCTTATTTTCAGACCTATTAGTCTGGTTCGAAAATACCACTGTCTTTGTGATAAGGATTCTAAACATTTTGCAAAGAAGAGTGATAAGGCCAATACATAACCTTCATTTTCGAAACTTCCTTTTCCCTCAGCAACCAAAATGAATGCGTTAAGAATCAGAGGACCTGCAGACAGTGTGAGTATCTTAAGCAAAGCGAAAAATCCCGAGACAAAAATCTCTCTCCAGTGGCATATTATTATGGTCTTCAAAATAGATGGCTGTGATGATGGTTTTGCTTGCTTTTGCTTGTTCAATTCCTCCAAGAACGACCAATAGCAGCTTTCCGCCATCTCCGCCTCACGTAACTTGGGCATATCATCTTCAGTCAGTGTCTTCTCCCTACCTTTCTTCATCAAAGGATTCAACCACCAAAAGGAGAATTTGCTAAAGCATCCAGCTACAGAGAACGGGGTAACTTGAGCGGTGTAACCATCTTTGGTACTGCCATTGACCTCACCATTTAAAGGGTCATAAAGTCCACTTTCATTTGTGTTATAAGCACCATCTTCATGCTCATATCCCTTGTAAGCACCAAACAACAACAATATTGCTCCGGGTAACAACAGAGCATCTATAACTATTTTTGTAGTCACTACTTTATTCAGAATAGCAGCAAAAGCAGATAAAACACAAACAACAACAGCATATATGACAGCAAGAATCAAAAGTAACCGAAACGGTATCTTGGGAAGATGGTTACCCCTAAGGCTCACAGTTAAACCCACCAATAACCATGTGCAGCCCTGAAACAGTACCAGCAACCACCAATTCAAAGGCAGAACAGTCTGAGTTTTCCTTAACTTCTCTTCCAAAATCCAAATGCCAAAGCACAAGTACACCAATCCAATACAACCATTGACAACAGCAGAAGCTGTTTGCAAAGCAGATCGGTTTCGAAAGCGTGCAGGGATGCCAACGGTTTTCAATGTTGGCTTTTGAATCATGTTGAATAAGATCATGATCAAGAGGAGGATATCGAAACAAATCATCATCAATTGATTAATGCAGGAAGAGGGATTGGTGAAATGCCACAAAGTAGAATCACATGGCTTTCCATCACCATCTGAACAAGCAGATTCCCCGCAAAACATAGTCCATAAATCCTCCATCATGGCTCTTCCCCTTGATCTTCAAACCTGAACATACCTCAAGAATTCCATATGTAAGAAACTAGTAGACATGAGATCATCAAAACATCAATCACAGAGTTAAGATCCTCAAAATAGATTCAAATTAAGGTTGAGTTATTTGTGAAATAAAATACTAATAAAAAGGTTAAACAAGCAACAAAATCCAACTCTGCCCCACTCAAACAAAGACTTAAATAAAAAAAGGAATTCAAGGGTCTTAAAGAATTCATAACACGTGCAACTTGCAAGCAATAATCAAAAGACAAAAGCAAAGGAAAAGAACATTCAAAGCCCAGAAACTAATGATTTTTTCAACTCTCGAGTTAGAAGACAAATAGCCTACGCAACCCTTTTCTCAGCAATTTATTTAGAGAATTCTCCAGTGAAAATTCTCCTATAATTAGAAACCGATTCATTATTTCATTTCGAAGCAAATCAACGTGGATCAAAAGAACGTTGCTCGGCAGAAAATGAAAATAAGCATTTAAAAACAAATGATGAATGAAATAACTGCACCCAAAAACGACAACCCTTTGTATTTCCCAATGATATAAACTAAAAACCAAATGAAAACTAACCAGTGAAGTGATCAGAAGAAACCCAGAATCCTTTCTCCAAAAAAACAATGTCCTGTACGTACAACAGAACGTGAAGTTGTTTGGGATTTGGCTTCTACCTTCTTGTTCTTCCCCAGAAACGAAGAAGAAGAAAGATTGAAATTGATGATTAGTTCATTCGTATTTGTCTTGCAGTGTGGTGTCTACGTGTTTATATGGAGAAATAGCAAAGCAAGAGGAAATGAAAATAGAGACGCAAATTAAAAGATTTGTTAAAAACCAAATTGAGACATCGTTGTCGTATATACATATACTAGTTTTAATGTGAAAAGAATGAGCGAAATTATAATCCAAATATATTCTAATAAAACTCACACGTATTTATGAAAAAATAATTATACATAACAAATTTTCTTTATTAAACTATACATAACAATTTTTTTATTTATTTAATTGTGTTGATTATAATATAATATTTATTTTTTAATCAAATGACAATAAAAATACCTTTTACAAAAATAACTGGAATCCAAAATCTTTTAAAAAATAATTTTCTATTTCACTACTCAAATCGCTCAATGAATTTAACCTAACAAATTCTAATATGAAATACTTAAAAATAAAAAAAAAATCTTTAAATTTCATTACTCTATACAAATAATATTATTTGAAAACAATATCAACGTTAATAAATTTATTAAATAAATTTATTTCTCTAAATAAAATTTTAAAAATTTAATATCTAAGTTATTATATGATACGACATAAAATAATAATACTATCTGATCATTAACATTTTTTTTGCCCACTCTGTTCCTCATGATTTTGTTTTAATTAATCTAAACTGACTCATTTCGCACAACTAATTTTGATAAGTAAATCTCCTAACAAAGATATTATGTATTCATAAAGTCTCAAACTCGAGACATACTTAAATGATATCAAATTGCTTACGACTCAAACTAACCCTGCTCGTACCATTAATATTTTGAAATGTTAGGTTGAATAGGATAATTAAACTGAATTTAAAATTTTTATAACAATTAATTTAAATTTATTTATTTATTTTATAATAATAAAAAATAATTGTATGTAACAACGAGACATGGGATATTATTATAATGAACTTTTATTACTTAAATTCAGGTACGAGAGGGATGGATTAAATTGGATGACGTCATGGGTGACGTCTTTTTAATAATATTGTACGTGATTCTTGTCTCTCAATTATGTTCTGATACTGCTGCTCTACGTGTCTTACTGGCTTTATATATATATATATATATACACTTAAATACCATCCATATATAAATAAACTAGTTCTCGAAATAGTAATTTTTTTTGAAAAATTATTATCAAATTAATATTGTTATGAAAATAAAAGAAAAACGTATTTTATTAAAAAAAATCAAATACTTTTAACAAAAATACCTTTATATTAGTATATTTTATTTTTTTTAACATCGACTTCAAAGAATATAAATCCCTCAATTGATATTATATGTACATGTACTGCTTAAGGTTTTTTCATTAATTTTTTTATTTAAAAATCCATAATCTGAAACCCTTAATTTAAAGGTGAAATGGCTCAGTTTTAAATTTAACTTTTAAACATATATAAAACATATTTGTAAATCCAAGTACATATTTATTTGTAAATTATTCAAATGTTCTATTATAATTATAATTATGACAGTTGTTATTATATAAATGTAGTTAAAAAATTGAGCATATGTCATTTACGACATTAATTGCAAATAGTCAAATCAATTGCTTATGACAGCAACTTAATTGGTGTCATTGCACGCATGCAGTAGATCCGAGTATGAAAGTTTGTTGATTAATATAGCATTTAACTCTAACGTTAATACGTTTGTCTTCACTATTTAGTCTAGGTTTAATTAAAAATAAGGATAAGTTGTATTCTAAATTAATTTTAAATGTCTAAAGATTTTTTTATTTAAAAATAGTTCTTAATGTTTTATTTATGACCCTTTTATTTGTATAACATTTTCTTCGTTAATTCTAGGTGCCTACACATTAACGACTGTTAGAAAAATCGTTAAGTGACACATATCATATTCATATTTTGGTTTTATGTCGAAATAAGTGCTCAAACTATATCATAAGTTAGTTTTAGGTACTTAAAGAATGTTTCGCTAAAAATATGTATATAATATTTTCAACGTTACATTTTTAGGTGCCTAAGATGTAACGAATGTTAAAATCAGCTGCTATTTGACATGTCCCGGTTTTAAATATTTTTTAAAATTTATATATTTTTAAGAAGTTAAAATTTTATTTAAAAAATATTTCTCTAAGAAAAAAATTCCCTTCTTCCGTCTACGCAAAAAAAATTCCCCTTCCCAGTTGCACTCAAAACCCCCTTCCATCGTGCCATGAATCCTTAAAGTTAACTTAAGGTGAGAATAATAAATTTAGGATTAGGGTTAGAGATTTGAGTATTGGGTTTAGAGATTTAAGTTTGGATATATGAATTTAAGAGAATTGAGACGACAACAAGTGGGTGGTCGAAAATAGAGGTCTAGTGAAGTGTGATTGGTAGTTCAAAAATGGCAAAGGTTGTTGATGATGGTCGACGATAATTTTAAGGGGATTGAAATGAGAGATTTTAGGATTATATGTTTTTTGTAATTTTAGAAAAATAAAATTTAATTAATAATATTATTAAAAATTTAAAAATTAAGAATTTAAAAAATATAAATATGGCACGTGTCACATAGTATTTTTTTAACGGTCATTGCGCATACTATAAAAAACGTAACATTGAAAACGTTAGACACATATTTTTAACAAAAAATTCTTTAGACACTTAAAGTTAACTTAGGATATAGTTTGTGCATTTATTTTTGTATTAAGCCAAAATAGAAACATGACATTTGTTACTTAACGGTTTTTTAATGGTAGTTACTACGTAGACATCTAAAAGCGTAACGGATAAAACGTTAGATACCTAAAAGTGTAACATCAGAAACGTTAGGAATTTATTTTTTTACGAAAAAATCTTTAAGCACCTAAAGTTAACTTAAGATATAATTTAGGCACTTATTTTTTCATTAATAGCATCCAAATTTTTTTATTTAATTGACAATATTAAATGTGAACCAATGAATATCAGACAAGTTCTCTCTAATTAAAAAACATAAGTAACTAATCGGGATATAAAAAAAATTAGGTCCAAAATTGAAATTGAACTTAATCTTAGGTACTAAATGGTATATTAACCTAACTAAAAATTATCTTTTAATTATTCATTCAAGCAAACTTGTCAAATATTTTATTATTTTTTATGCAATTAAAAACAACTAATTTATTAGAAATTAAAAAATAATATATAAAATTATAATAAAGGTTTACAACGATAAATGTAAACTAAACATATATTATGACATATTCTTATAGCAATTGATATAAGAAACTAGCTACTTTAGATCGTATAAAGTTCATACAAGAAAAAAAGGTTAAAAACTCATTCAAAAAATTAGAAAAAAAATTTTAGATATGAACAGATTTGACTACATTAATAAACGAACCACAACATGAAATCTAACCATTGAAAGACCAACGACAATTATAAATCAGATTCGAGCGTCGTGAGAAAACTATCTTTGAACGTAAACCGTGTATCCAACAACAACAACAACAACAACAACAACAACAAAACCCAATTCTCATATGCAATCGGGTAAGGGGGAGGTAGGGTAGTAGGTTGCCCCCAACGCCAGGTTGAGCAAATAAGCGTCATATTGATCGGACGAGGCGGCGTCAGATCCAAACCTCATAAAACTAAATGGAAAAAATGACCATGCGACTAAAAAAAAGTACTAAAAGACAGAAGAAAGCATGTTACAAAGATATAATTATTATAAATTAAAAAACAAATGAAAAATAAGAAATACAGACGGTCGACGACCAACATCTATAATAAATTGAATTGATAATAAATTAAACATAATTGAAAGAATTATCTTATTTTTTATTATAAATAAATTAAATTAAATTGAAAAAAATAACATTATAATAATTCTTTATTATATTTGATCTAAATTAATTTATAAATAAAATAGAATGCATATGATTATAAAAAATAAATATTTCCCATTCATTATTTTATGCCTCCTGCCTCCAAATTGATGAGAATATTATTTTATTGATAAGAATATTAACAATAATAATAAAAGAATATTATAAATTATTCTCTCTCTCAATTGGCTGCATAAAGCAACCAAAAGCCATTGTTAAACAATTATCAGACCAAAATGGAACAATAAATTAAAAGTTGTATGTTAGAAATATTAAATAACAATAATTTTATATTAAACAATGAGATCCCAATATTTTTTTTCGCTGGAAACTGATTACTGAATCAATTCTGACCACTGATTGTGTTATTTTAATTACAAAATTTTATAAAAAGAAATTGACAATCTCCGTATGGACTTTGAGAGTACAGCCAAAGTCACCAACTAGCTTCAATAGTTTAGTGGAATACGTCCCATAATTTGAGATCCAATGTCAGCGAAAATTTGTCATGTAATTCATTTAATTAATGGACGATACATAAAACGATAAGTTTCCACTCAATAAGTCAATAGAGCACGTTCACCGGAACAAGCGAGAACGACATCGTCTCCGACAACTTCTCGAAACTTCTAAAGGAAAACGGGGTTTAGGTCCTCTGGCCCGGACGTTTATCAGGATGGTGCTATCAGTGAAGCATTATTATCTATAATAATAAATCACAAATTAAAAGAAAAAACTAAATATTAAGTAGTTAGGGGTGATTGTAGTATATGTACGTTGATTTTTTTTAATCATTAATAACACACATTCAATAGTCTACATGCATAATAGTTCGAATTCAAATTTTTCAAAGAGAATGACACTATATTTAATAACTTAAGTCATTTAATAAATTAATAAATACTGATATTTTAAGTAAAAACTTTTTATGAGAAAAATTTGTGAGAAGAGGGAAAAATATTATATAAAAAAATATGCAAAAAGTTGTAAAAATCATATTTTCATCTGAAAAATCCTTATATGTATATATGTACAGTCAAGGAAAAAAAAGGAACGATCACGTGAATTAGATTAATAAAATTTAACGATTAATGATCGTTTTGTTGGTTAATAATTAATTTATTAACTTAATAAAGTATAAAGATCAAAATTTTGAAAAACTAGGGATATTAAGTTTTTTATTTTTAAAAACAAATAATTTAACTTATAA